GAGAGGCCGGGCTTGAGCGGGGGTCCTCTCCCCGGAATCACAGAGCCGAGAGGCCGGGCTTGAGCGGGGGTCCTCTCCCCAGAATCACAGAGACACATGGAGTGCAGCAGTCAGCCGCCAAGGTGTTGCCCTTTCTCCAAGCCCCGTATTCTGAATGCAGATCTGCAGGGCCTCCGGTCCCACCTGACAGTCTCCCCTTAAGAATGACACCCCAGACAGTAGAATGCAGTCCTGCCCCAGCTTTTCAATGCATGCTCAAGGCTGAGCCAGCGGTTTGTAACAAAAAGCCTTCCCAGGTGCCCAGGACTGGAAATCATCTGTCGTGGCCTGGCCCTAGGATCAAAGGGCTGAAGCTTGTGGCCTGGCCATACGTTGTCACACCTTAGCCAAACGGATAACAGGATGACAGGTCCATGCCAGATACCTTCTCTGGAAGGCAGCTTGGCATATAAAGTCTGATGCCCTCAGACAGCGATGGGAGCTTGAGACCAAGGGTGGCAGGTCCCAGCCAGTTTACTACAGTCCCCAGGGAAGGGTGGACTGCCATGGTGCGAAGACCCCGGATGATTACCACGCTTTGCTGTCACTGCCTTCTGCAGGGCTCAGCCAGGCACCACAAGGCTAAGGGGAGGGACGGGACGCAGAAGCAGGAGACAAGGCAGTGGCAGCACCACACTTGGGCTTCACAGATGGCATCGGCCAAGGAGGAGCAGGGCCACAGGGAACTGACGTGAGACCAGCCTTGGGAGGGATGTGTTCACGTAAGAGAAGGAAAACAATATAGTTGGAAATTCTTATATTCTTAGGGTAGGAACAACAATTCCTGAAAATTCCTGAGAATTCCTCAAATGCATCACAAGGAAATATCCCAACAGAGCTACGAAGGCCCGTCTTGAACAACAGAACAGAAACATCTTTGTATAGAGATATTTTGGTGAAGACTCATCTAAAGGACGGAGTTTGGACTAGGACAGTGGTTTTCAAGCTTCTGTGGAACCCTAAGTTTCTCCAAAAGGCATTCCAAGGGGTCTCCCAAATTCCAGACGTACAAATAATTGTAGCTTTTTTTTTCTTTGAGACGGAATTTCATTCTTGTCACCCAGGCTGTAGGGCAGTGTCACAATCTCGGCTCACCGCAACCTCCACCTCCCGGGTTCAAGCAATTCTCCTGCCTCAGCCTCCTGAGTAGCTGGGACTACAGGCATGCACCACCACGCCTGGCTAATTTTTCTGTATTTTTAGTAGACATGGGGTCTCTCCATGTTGGTCAGGCTGGTCTCAAACTCCCGACCTTAGGTGATCTGCCTAGCTTGGCCTCCCAAAGTGTTGGGATTATAGGCGTGAAGCACTGTGCATGGCCACTTGTAGCTGTTTTAAGAGACCTTATTAAAATAAGACATACCACTTTCAAATGTTTCATATGTCAACTTTTCACCCACTGGAACACATCAACCCAATAATTTGTGCTGCTGGGTAAGCGTGATTTTGTGGGGCCCTCAGGATCAAGTTTCTGCCTTTCTTTGTGTAAGTGGCTGAACTCCCTGTAATGTTAGTGAAGAGGACATTTGATTTATTTGCGTATTTAAATTCCGGCCTGCAGCCACAGTGCTCACATGCCACTGTTCGGGTCCATCTGGGCGAGGTGCAGCTCAGGGACAGCACGTGTGCCTGTCGGCGACACCCTTTTGTTAGGGTAACATGCTTTGCTGCGGTCTTACAGCGAAGGTGGGGTTTCGTTTACTCTGGGAGCCTCTTGTTTGAGACTTGTCTTTTGTGAGGAATAGGAACTGCTGTTATATTGGCTATGATTCAACTGGGAAAAAGCTCTTGCCTCATTTTAAACTTCTAGTATCTGCATCATTTAAACTGCAGATAATTCTGATATTTCCAAGTGAGGTGTTCAATTATTTAAACCTGAACTTACAATCTTGTAAAAAGGGTTCTCCTGAAAAAGAAGTTTAAAAACCACCGACTTCGATGGCATTTGAGTTGTCTATGTTTAAGGAAATGGGATTACCTAACGCCTAGAAGGAATTTTGGCAGACCCGCACGCCAGTCTTCAATGGTATATTATTTTCTGGCCCTTTGGCAGCTTGAATAACAGGGCCTGTCACAGAGGCAGCGAAGTGTTGTTTTACACTCAGACGTCGAGGAGGCCACGGGCGCTGACGTGCTTACGGGAACCACCAACCTGGATGGCACCATCACCTCAACCCTGTGAGTGAGGAGGGCAGGGCGTGGTCTTCTTCCCAGAGAGCTTAAAGCACCAACCAAGAGTGATTCTGCCTGTGTGTTGAGATCTATCCACTGCTTTCCATCTCGGCAGAAGTGATTTGTGGAGGAGAGAGAGGAGAAATGAAGACGAGCCTAGGCTCTCTCCTGATATCTTCCGCCAGAAGAGGAAAAGCACAGGGCAGGGCCCTGCGGGCCTGGATGCAGATGCGCACGGGGGGCTGGGGCCAACGCCATCTGAGCTCAGGCTTGACTGAGGAGGCCGGATCAGACTGCGCGGAGCGGGGTAGGGAGGCAGGGCACCGCAGGCCCGCTGGGAGCCGCGGACCCTCTCAGGCGAGCCCGAATCTCCTCGCCGTGCTTGTCTCACAGCAACTCATCCCAGTCTTCTCGGCCCACTGGACGCTAAGTGCTTAGTTTTGCATTTCCTTCGGCAGCCTGGGCTTTAGCATTAAGTCCAGCATCAGGTGATCCCAAACCAAGAGCATCCACAGCCTCCCCTTTCTTCCCAACCCATCTCTCTGTCTGAAGGTCCTCGCTGAATAGACCGATAAGCTGCCACTTCCAGGCCTTCAAGGGCCTGGGACAGGAGACCTACTTCCACGCCCAGCTCCCTCACTCCCCACCGCGCCAGCTTCAGTCCTACAGGCCACAGGAACGCATCTTGACACCAGGCACTTCCTGTGAGCCCAGGGGTCTTTGAGCAGGATCAGATGGCAGCAGCTGGCCCTGCTACTGGCCGCCTCCTCCCAGTTCTTCTGTCTCACAGAGCGCCTGCCTGTCAGCAGAGGCACCCTGCTCCCCTCTGCCACACTAGAGTGAGGAAGTAAGAGGACACTGCTCTTCTTCATCCCAGTGCACAATTTGAAGCTGGACCTGCAGGCTATAAAGAGATGGAAGTTTCCCCATCCAGAGACTAGACGAAGACTTGTGGATGCTTGAGAAGGCAGAATGGTCACTGCACCCCTGGGCTGGCCCTGTGGCTTCAAGGTCCTGAATCAACAGGGCTTCCTGGGCCGTGGGGCGAGAGACGCCTCAGGAACTCCCTTGCATTCTCCGAGGCCAACTGTGCTGGGTGCAGCCCCGTAGGTTCCCTGGGTGGAACGGCAGATGTGAGCGCACCACACCCTCCGGTGCTTCCCTGCCAGGAGCAGCAGTCACAAGCACAGGACCCTGCCAGCCACGCCCTGGGGTCTGCTCCACATTGGATAGCCACATGCCCTGAGCCTCCCCAGCCCTGCCCTGAGTGACCAGCCTTCAGTGGACACAGAGCCTGGGTGCCCTCTGGAAATCTGTGCGTGCCGAGGGCAGCCACATGCTCTCCCACCGGCGGTGGTGAGGGCTCTGTGGGCAGGAGGGGCCCAGGGAACTAACGGCAGGAAGGGGTCCGGAGGGGTGCAGGCTGGGGACCTGCCCAGTGCAGTTCTGTGATGGTTCCTTGCAGTTCAATCTCCCTTACTCCCAGTTACTCCCTTCTAGAGTAAATGTGGGGCAGGAAGGAAGGGGGGAGCCAGCGCTCGCCATCAACATGCCAGGGACTGAGTTTCACTCTATGGGAAAACATCAGCCCACAGGGGCCGTGGAGCAGGATGGGCCTGGGGCTGTCTCAGACAAGTATTTTCTTTTGCTTAACAGGAAGCCCCAAATCTCAGTGATGAAGGGCCCCAGAAAATCCTGCTGGAAAAGGAGCTGAATTCCAGGTGAGGTGAAGCAAAACTAGCCTACCATGGTGGGAGGGAGGGAGGGAGGGAGGGAGGGCAGGCTTCCTCCAGGAGCAGAGCTTAGTAAGGAGCCCAGCAGTACCTGCTTCGCCCCGGAGCGCCTTCTCCACGGCCACGCCCCTTTCCTCCAGCCGCCGCTGCCTCTCCTCCACCTGCTGCAGCTGCCGCTGGATGATCTGTGACAGACAGCACAGCCTGAGCACCCGGCCCTCCGGCCCAGCTTCAGGAGGACACATGACTGCACACCCACAGGAGTGGAAACAAAGGAGTGGCCGCTCTGGAAACTGCTCCAGTCCGTGGGCAGCGTGCTCAGGGTGTGGTGTGGAGACCACCTGCACCAGAACCCCCGAGCCTGTGTAGACACTAGGCTCTGGGCCTTGCTAGTTGGCACCCAAGAGTGCGGACACGGTTCAGGTAGTGACCACCCTCCCAGGAGTGGTGCAAGGACAGGAAGTGGATGTAAACTGCTGCAAGAGGGGCCCGAGTCCCAGAACCTCAGACTGTTCTCACGCCAAGACTGCTAGCCTGCTGGATGGGGTTCCTCAAGAGCACAGTGGAAATCCCATCTTTATGGTAAAAAATTAAGAGAGGCCGGGCATGGTGGCTCACGCCTGTAATCCCAGCACTTTGGGAGGCCGAGGTGGTTGGATCGCCTGAGGTCGGGAGTTCTGAGACCAGCCTGACCAACATGGTGAAACCCCATTTCTACTCAAAATATAAAAGTTAGCCGGGTGTGGTGGCGGGCACCTGTAATTCCAGCTACTCGGGAGGCCGAGACAGGAGAACTGCTTGAACCCAGGAGGCGGAGGTTGTGGTGAGCCGAGATCACTCTACTGCACTCCAGACTGGGAGACAGAGCAAGACTCCGTCTTAAAAAAAAACAAAAAACAACAGCTCTACAACAGTCTAGAATTCAGGGTCTGTGCAGCCTGAAGACAAGCTGAGGATGTGAGGAGAGATCTGACATCTTCCCACAAAAATCCCAGGCCTATCAGAGGCTGAGGAGCCATGAGTGGACTCCTGACAACAGTCCTCACAATTGAACGAGGCGACTCATGATCATTCTACAAGAAGGAATTCGGGAAACTCAAAGCAGGGCTCTTTCCCCTGCCCCCAGGGGGAGACAGAGTCTTGCTCTGTCACCCAGGCTGGAGTGCAGTAGTGCGATCTCAGCTCACTGCAACCTCTGCCTCCTGGGTTCAAGCGATTCTCATGCCTCAGCCTCCTGAGTAGCTGGGACTACAGGCACCTGCCACAACGCCCAGCTAATTGTTTTTTTTTTTTTAGTAGAGATGGGTTTTGCCTTGTTGGCCAGGCTGGTCTCGAACTCCTGACCTCAAGTGATCCATCTGCCTCAGCCTCCTGAAGTGTTGGGATTACGGCACTTTGGTGACACCAGCTCGGCCTGCTCTTCCCTTTGGACCGACAGCTCCACCAGGGCGGGGCCGAAGGTGACCTGGATGGCAGGGGGCCGGTCTACCTCTGCTCTGCTCTGCACTGCGCTTAGTGTGGCAGGGCGCAGCTGGGTGGAGAGGAGGGTGCTGCCCAAGCCTCCCACACATGTGCCCTGGTCCCAGCCTCCGTGGTTGTACCTGGGCTCGATGCAGCCGCTTAAGCTCCTCCTGCTTGGCCTGTCTCCGAGCTGCCTTCTGCACACGCCGGGTCAGCTTGGCGTTCAGTTCCTCCTCTGTGTAGGTTCTTGGCTGGAGAGAACAAGAGAGATTTCCTCAGTCAGGTGCACAGAGGTCTGAGATAGGGGTGGGTGGCAGGCCAGCAGGGGCCTTGGAGAGTGCTGTCCCTGATGTCAGAGTCAGAGCTGGTGCCCGGGCAGAAAGACAAGCCATCCTCTGCAGGGAGAGTGCTGGCAGGATGGCGGGTGCTGACAGGCAGAGGGCCCGAGTCTGCAGAGTCCCCAGCCTGCAACAGCCCTCAGTGCCATGGGCACACCTACGACCCAAAGGGTGAGACATCTCCCCATCTCTGCACGGGAACAGGAGGCTGAGTGGGGACCGACTACTAGGCAGTTAAAACAATAAAGGGACACACACTCCCTTATCACTGAGATCACCTACTTCCTGAATAAGGACGTCTGGTCTTTTTAAGACTTTGTGGGATTAAAAACATTGGCAGGCTGTTTCACCAAGCTTCCTGCTTCTAGGAGGCTTACAGGGGAAGGAAAGAGAAATTAGCATATTTTTATTTTCCTGTTTGGTATCAAATGCCACTTTCTTCAGAAGAGCAGTATCCATGAGAGTCTTCAAAGAAATGACAGCCAAGTAGAGGGGACAGGAATGCTTCTCTAAGTCAAGTACAGCCTGAAGAAGGAATTGTGGAGGGGAACCTGGACAGACTCTGGGGTTGCAGAGGCGGCCGTGGGCCACTGGGAAGAGAGGTAGTGGCCTGGCTGGGGCAGTTACACCCAGTGCCATCAAGAACGGAGGAGGCAATGGCCCAATCCAGTGCAAGTCCACAGACTGGACGGCCACAGCCACTGCCCACGTAGGTGCCAAGGGTTCAAGGGAGCATCAGAGGCTTTGAAAAAACCCTGGGCAACCAGAGGGGCAAAGGTTAGGGAATTTGCCTTTATTCCTAAGGCCTTCTTAATTGCCTCTAAGAAAATGAAACAAGGAGACTATAAAAAAGTTTTGGAGAGAGGGTCTCACTGTCACCCAGGCTGCAGTGCAGTGGTGCGATCACAGCTCACGGCAGCTTCAAACTGTTAGACTCAAGTGATCCTCCTGCCTCAGGCTTCCATGCAGTCAGTGCTGCAGGCGTGTGCCACCTCGCCTGGATCATTTTACAATGTTTTTTGTAAAGACAGGATCTCGTTATATTGTCCAAGCTGGTCTTAAACTCCTGGACTTAAGTGATCCTCCCACATCAGCTTCCGCAAATGCTGGCATTATAGGTGTGAGCCACCACACCCGGCCAGCCAGAAAACTTTTATAGACTTCAAAGAAGACAAAAGTGACTTGGGCTCATAATCTTCACTCAAAAAGCTGAAATGACAGAGGGTCCCTGAACAGGCAGTCCCTAAGGGTCATCAGTGGTGTTTCAGCACTGCACCTTGCTGATCAGAGCTGAGGGTTGCACCAGGGGCAGCTCTGCCGTGACCCGGGGAACCTGGAGCAAAATGACCACATGCGCTCCAGCCGGCGAGAGGCACGCGTCTCATCCTCCTTTCCGTCATGAGGCGCCTAACGGAAGTGCTGCTGCCAGTGTGCCACAGCCCATGCGCGTACAAACACCGTTAGTGAGGGTGTGGCTGGAGGGCCGGGGCTGGCGCTGGGCGGTTAATCACAGACAAGCATGCAACAGTGACCAGCTGACGGCAACGAGACACTACCTTTGATGCATATGATCTCCTGAATGCCAAGGCGTGTGGTACATAAATCGACTTTTAAGGGGATGGCATCAGAAAACAAAACAGAATAGTAATAATAATAATGATTAACAAATTAAAAATTGAGAACACAGAAATGGAGCAAAATAAGTTAGAGGTTTAAAACAAACACACAAGACTTAAAACACGTGATTATTTTTCTTTTTTTTTTTTTTTTTTTTTTTTTTTTTTTTTTTTTTTTTTTTTTTTTTTTTTTTTTTTTTTTTTTTTTTTTTTTTTTTTTTTT